GCCGGCCCGTGTTCCAAACACCGGGGAAGCTGCAGTGAACGACAGAAAAACGTTCCTGCTTACATGGGACTTGTATTCTAGTTGGTATACATATGATAGAGAAATAAAGCAGTACAGATACTGTGTCAGATGGAGATGAGAGCATGTGGAAAAGCTAAAAGCAGGGCAGGGGGCCAGGGAGTGCTGGGGTGGGTGAACAGCTGTTCTCTACAGGATGGTCAGGGAAGCCCGATGAGAGGACCTGTGAGCAGAGGTGGCAGACGCCCCTCCCTGGGGCCTCTGGCTGAGTAACAGTCCTAGTTTCCAGTACTACCTAAGGAAAGTTGGTGCCTCGCTCTGCGCTTTCACGCATGCGTCCACTGGGAGGCAAAGGAGGGGGAAGTACAGTCACTCACTTTTTTGTCACTATAACTCGACGCCTTCAATAATGATAATTTTAAATGCCCAAAATACTCCTCTAAGAAGATGGACCATAATTTAATTAACCAATCCTCTCTATAGTTGGCTATCTATATTATTTTCAACCAACTGTAGTTTACTCGTATATTTTTAGTTGGAATATAAACTACACGATTAGCCACCAGGCAGTCAAGGAGAGCAGTTTGGAAATACAGATCAAGGGGATGAAAATGTGTACTTGGGATCACGGACGGAGGAGCAGGCGACACACACAGGAGCAGTCGAAGGTGGTGAGCAGCAGCGGCGCTGGACAGGGAGGGCCAGGAGAAAGGCCTTGGAGAGGTGGCTTCACTCCTCTGCTCCTTTCACTTTTGGTCAGGAGGCCTCCCTGCCCCGGCCCCTTGCCCGCCTCCCTGTGCCAATCAACGGCCTGTTTATTGGTCTGAGTCTCCCAAAGTTTCAAGTGCGAGTTATAAAGAACAAAAGCAAACCACAATAGAGAAGCAGGTCAAGTGTTCAGTTAAATTCAGTAATGGTGCGCTTTTAATTAAGGAGATAATAAAGATACTGCTTATGAAAAACAAGAAGCAGATGGCACTGACTTCTGGCTTTCATCCACAGAAATAGAACAGGAAAAGTAAGAAGCTTCTATGCCCAAGATGGGGGTTACAGTGAGGTTTCCAGCACTCAGGCAGGCAAAGGCCTGGACAGCTGCTTAGGGCCGATGGATCCTTTGACAGCTTAATATTGCAGTTCCTGATGACTCTGTAGTTAGGGCGGCCGACCTGAGACTGTTTACTCGTGGGAAGAAAGGCTTGCTACCAGCAGGTACTCACCACTGAGAATGAGCTAACAACCCAGAAGTCAAGCCGCCACTCTATAACCTCTGCAAAGCAAACTGGCCTGGCAAACCACTGGCCCCAGAAAAGGAAACTTCATCTCGGGTTCATGTGACATACACAATGGGACCATACAGAATGACATGCCAAGAGGTTTTATTTGGGTTTGCTTCAAGGTATTCAAATGCCATGAGAGAGCTCATTCACTTAGAAGCCTCTTTTGTTCTTTTCTATTTTTCTAAACAGGAAAGGTAAACAACCATGAATCAAAGCTACCTATCACAGACCTAAAAACCAGCTGCCACTTATTATTCAGATGAAAAACATTTTAGATAAGTAACACATATTTATTGCAAAAGGTTTACAGTGAAAATCTCCCCCACACCTCTTTCTCCCAGTACCCCATCTCCCCTTCCCTCTCCAAACACAAACATGATTACCCATTTCCTGCATGTCTTTCTAGGAATAGTCAATAATATACATAATTGTATGTGTGTGTCTGCGTGTGTACCCACACATGAAAAAAAATATTTCCTTATAACTTAATTGGTCATATTTGAAGTAAACAAAAACCTATTAAAGGCTCTGAGAAGTACTGCAGAGAAACCTGTTCAACTTCATTAGGATATCCTAAAGGTATTTGACTTTGGGGCCCCTCCTTTCCTCCTTGGGTATAATTTCTGGTGCGTGGAAAATAGCCAGAACTTGCTGGTATGGATGTAACAGGTGTTTCTGGATGGCATCTGTTCTGACTGGCCTGTGCTTGAGCTGTCCTTTTTCTTTAAATGTAAAGTTTATTGCCATATTTTTCATTTTTCATCGCCTTTTCTTATTTTCTTTGCTCCTTATTTTCATACTGCCTACGCACAGTTCTCTGGCTGCTTTCTTTCTGGTTTATTGTGTGCTTTGAGTGGGGGCAGCTATGTGCCCAAGCATATCCCTTGAAGAGGTGAAGTTATTATCTTAGGCTGTCCTACAGTTTCAGTTCAGGTTGTGACTTCACGTGGCCCTCTCTCCAAACTGCAGCGTCGTTGGCCTGAGGCCATCTTTCCCCTCAGCTACCCTAGGTTCTTTCTCTTCAGCCTCTATACACTGGGGTCGGCATGACTGAGAAGTTTCTTTAGGCCACAGGCACTCTGGGCAGTAACCCTGTAACCATTTCCACTCAACTGACTTCGACCAACAGCTGCAGGTTTGCATCTTATTTGTTCCTACACCTGCTCCTACTGAAGATTTATTCCTTTTGTTTATGAGGCATGAATACTAAATTTTATCAAACAGTTTTTGCCTTGTATTAAGAGCTTTTGTATGAAAAGACTAATAGACCTTTCCGATGGACAGCCTTAGGGTATTGTATTCTTAGGGCAAAGGCTAATTGGTCACGATGCATTATTCTTTTGAGATACTCTTGGACCAAATTTTGGGCATTTTATTTAGGATTAAAAAAAAAACCTCTGCACTAAAGTGGGGTTGGATTATAATTTTCTTTCCTTTTGCTATCCTATTTGTCTTGGGTATAGTGTTGTGTTGGCCAGATAAAATGAGATGTTTTTTTCAAAAATTTTACTTCCCCTCTTCTCTCTGAAATTTGACTGGAATTTTGCTCATAGACTTTAAGTCCTAATCCTCTCTCTTTATAAGTCTTTTTTAAGACAATAACTCCTATTCAAGACTAGACTATCAATGGTATGTTTTGTTATTTTGAGGCTTCCCTCCCAACTTCTAACTAGAGAACTTCTCAGCATGTACTTAAGGGAAATTATCTGGAAGATAATTGGTCTGGACTTAAATTCCGGTCACCATTGGATTTCCATAATTAACCCAGGGACAAATAAGATTCTGCCACATCATTATGCTTCTAAAACACAGTATGATTTTCAAAGTCATGCCAATGATATGATACTTGACAATAATGGAAAACGGCTAGAAAAAAAAATCAAATTAACCCTTCTTCAAGAAGCCAACAGCAAGCTGATGACTGTAACTCTGAGTCAAAATTCTAACTGTGAATTTTCTGGAGGGAGAAGGAGAGATTTTCTCTCTTACTTGTACTTGACCTCAATGCATAGGACAGGAACAGCAAGAATGAATTATAAAAAAACCTACCATCTTGACAACCTTCTTCTTTTCCCTCTACTTATAAATTTTAAAAACATTTAAAATTCTTACATATGCTAAAGATAGGAGGGAATGCAACTAGAAACATATCTCAGATGCATATACTAGGGACAGAAAACAAACTGATGGATTCTAGGACTAGATTCACATTTCCTGCCACTTATAGAAATACTTAACAGGGGTTGTAATTTGGTGAGCAAGGACCCAAGAATGAGAAAAAATACTTCAGCTTTTCAGGGAAACACTATTCATTAGTACAGGTATCCCAATTAACATCCCTTTTGCACATACTTTGTTAAAACTAAATATTAGGAGGAAAATAAGCCTGCTTATTTGAGTAGTAAGATGCCTTTTTCATGCTTTGCCTTTTTACTCTAAACTCTTCAGTATTTCTCTCAGCTTTATAATTACTTGGCAGATAGAAGGGAATTTTTCAAAGGCCTATATGTTTATTATTATTTTTGGTAATTTCTTAGATTCTTGATTTTTTTCTACCAGATGACCACTAAACATTGTTTTTTTATAGCATTTAAAAGCATTTAGCTATGTAAGATATTTAAAGATCTATTTTGATCTAGAATACATAACATAAATGATCTGTGCAACCTACTTATAAAATTATATTCCAAATATCTAACAGCAAAAATGAACACAGTAGATTTAGACATGTAGACCTCGGATTCTAAATATACCTTTGTTCAGAGAAAGAAAATCCATGTCTAAACCTAAAGAAAAAAACAATACTAATAAGGAATACTTGATTACTTCTGCCAACTTAGGAAATGTCTTTTGGGAAGAAATGAAACTGGCCATTGGGCTCATTTCTCAGTCACTGAGTTCTGAGGAGTGGTCTTCTTGTGGCATCAGGGGGTGGTGGGCAGGCAGAGACAGCATGCCATAATGGGAAGAACATCTGACTTTGGAGTTAGAGAAATACCCTGCCTCAAATGCTCCATGACCTGCTGTGGGAAGGAAAAAACCCACCTCTAAAAGAACTCCAATAAATAACCAGCCCAAATCACTCCCCTGCTTAAAATTACCCATTCTCTGGTCCCACAATCTTCAGGATCTGCTTCTTGTTTATATTTCTCACTTCTTTTTCACTAAACACACACATACATAAGCACCCAGATATCATCTAGGGTTACTATGAAGGTCTCAGAACATGCCACGTTCCATCACAACTCCATGTTTTCAAAGAGGTTACTGACTCTCTCAGGAATTCCTTCGGTCTTCATGGACCTACATGTCACTCTACATTTGCCTTCTAATTTGTTTAAATTTATAGTAGACACACTCACTGATTACATTTGGAATAAATGAGAAGCTATGACAATAGGAACATAAAGTAATTTTCCTATCTTTTGGATTTAATGACATTTGGATTTGCAGTGAAAAAAATCACCATTAGGGAAACCTCTCATTATTGGTTCAGCTGGAGGCTGGAAAAGCAGAAGATCATTCCTAATCTTGAAACTAATCATGGATGCTAATTTGCCTTCTGTGAAACAGATGATTTAAGTTTTCCTTATGAAGGAAAATAACTCAATACACTAAAATTGGCAAAAAGCAAGTTCACCGAGAATTACGATGAAAGATTTGCTATGTTTAAGACTTGTCTTAGTTACAAAAATCAAACTTTACCTCTTGAAATGATTCACCAGGACTCCAACAAGTTCTCCAATTCGGCTCTCAGGGGTTGGCTGTTTGCTGAAGAGGCAGACAATGAGGTCTTTGTTGTCTTTTGTATGGAAGACTACAAGTTGGTCCTTTCCATTGGAGACGCTTAGACCAGTCAACTGCAAGGAGACAAAGCATAGAGAATTATTAGGATGGCTCTCAAAAGAATAAATTTTAAAACACATTTTGTAATTTAGTAATACATTTTTGCTCAGTAACTGATGGCTTTAATCTTTATCAAGTTTCATGGAATAAGCAGATGGAAGGAAAATAAAGATAAGAACAAAAATTAATGAAATTGAAAACAGAAAAATTGTAGAAGAAAAATCAACAAAACAGAGTTGGTTTTTTGAAACACCAATGAAATTGCTAAACCTCTAATCTGAAAGAGTAAGAGAGAAGACCTATCTACAAGTATCAAAAACGCAAGAAGAGACGTCACTGCAGGCCACATAGGCGTTAAAAGGATAATAAGGGAATATTTTCAACAGCTTAGATAAATCAAATAATTTCTTGAAAGTCATAAACTACCAAAAGTCACCCAAGAAGAAATAGATAACCTGAATAGTATTGTATCCCTTTTAAAGAATTTAAAGTTGTGGTTAAAATGTTTTAAAAAGGAAAACTCCAGGCTCAGATGAGTTGATGGGTAAATTCTACCATACATTTAGATAAGAAATAACACCAATTTTCCATATCTCTTCTTAAAAATAGAAGAGAAGGGAGTATTCATAACTCATATGGCCAGCATTATCCTGATACCAAAAATAAACAAAGGAAGTATAAAAACTAAAACCAATATCCAATATCCTTATGAACCTGGCTGTCAGAATGGCCAACAAAATATTAGCAAATTGAACCCAACAGTATATAAAAACAATAATACACCATGACCAAGTGGAGTTTATCTAAGAAATGCAAAGCTAATTCAATATTCAAAAACCAATGTAATCCATCATGGCAACAGAATAAAAAAGAGAGCCACAACATTACGATTAGCACGTATAGTGCTGTGGGGGCACGGGGAGGGCTGTGCAACACAGAGAAGACAAGTAAGGATTTTACAGCATTTTACTACATTGATGGACAGTGACTGTGAAGGGGTATGTGGGGGGGACTTGGTGAAGGGGGGAGCCTAGTAAACAATGTTCTTCATGCAATTGTAGATTAATGATACCAAAATAAAAAAAATAAAAATAAAAAAAAAGAAAGCCACGAGAGCATATACATTTATACAGAAAAAGCTCTTGACAAAAATTCAACATCCATTCATGATAATAATCTGTCAGCAAACCAGGACTGGAGAACTCAACCTAATAAATGACACATACAGAAATGCCACAGCTAAATCATACTTTGTGGTGAAAGACTGAATGTTTCCCCCAAAGATCAAGAGCAATGCAAGGATTTCCACTGTCACTGCTGCTGTGCAGCATTATACTAGCAGCCATAGCCAGCGCAGTAAGGCAGGTATAAAGAAATTTAAAAGGCATACATATTGAAAGAGAACAAACCAATGTACCTATATTCAGACTGTATGATGGTCTACATAGAAAATCCTAAGGAGTCTACAAAATAGCTTCCAGAACTAATAAGTGTGTTCAGCAAGGTCATCAGATACAAGGCCAACATCCAAAAATATTTCTATATGTTAGCAATGAACAGTTAGAAACAAAAATTTAAAAACAAAATTATCACAACTCTGAAAACAAAAATACTTAAGTATAAAATGTGTACAGAACTTGCAGGCTAAAAAATACAAAATGTTGATGAAAGAAATAAAACGCTGATGAAAGTGGGGGTTGGATAAAGGATAAATTTAAATAAATGGAAAGGTCATGGATTGGAAAACTCAGTATTATTAAATGCCAGTTTCCCCCAAATTGATCTATAGATTTAATGCAATCCCAACCAAAATTTCCACAGGACTCTTTGTTAGAGATCAACAAGCTGATTCTAAAATGTATATGGAAAGGCAAAGGAACTACAAACCCAAAACATTTTGAAAAATAACAAAGTTGGAGGACTCAGAGTAGCTGATTTTCTTACTATAAAGCTACAATATCAAGACAATGTAATTGTTAAGGGGATTGTCAAAGGGATAAAAATACAGATCAGTGGAGCAGAATGAAGAGTCAGAAATAGACATAAATATGGCCAACTGATTTTTCATAAAGGTGCAAAGGCAATTCAATGCAGAAAGGACAACTTGGACATTTGGACATGTACACACCAAAAGAAATAAATGTCAACCTAAATCTCACACCTTATGAAAAAAGAATTCAAAATGGATCATACATCTAAATGTTAAATAAGTCTAAGTGTAAAACTATAAAACTTTTAGAAGAAAACAGGAGAAAATCTCTGTGGTCTTGGATTCAGCAAAGATTTCTTAGAAATGACACCAAAAGCATAACCCATAAAAGAAAAAAAATATTAAACTGAACTTCATCAAACTTAAACCTTTTCTCTGAGAAAGACACTGGGGGGAAATGAAAAGACTAGCCACAGACTGGGAGAAAATATCTGCAAAGATATATCTGATAAAGGACTTGTGTTCAGAATATAGAAAGAATTCTTCAAACTCAACAAGAAAGCATACAACTCAATTAAAAAAATGGGCAAAAGATTTGGAAGTCACTTTATCAAAGATGATATATGGGTTGCAAATTAAGATAATGAAAAGATGCTCAAAATCATTAGTCATTAGGGAAACGCAAATTAAAGCTACAATGAGGTACCAGCACAAACCTATCGGAATGGCCGAAACAAAACAACAACAAAAAAGCTCTTGACAAAATTCAACATCCATTCATGATAAAAATCTCTCAGCAAACCAGGATTGGAAGAGAATTCAACCTAATAAAAGTGACAATATCAAAAGCTGGTATGGATGCAGAACAACTGGAACTCTCATACATGGTTGGTAGGAATATAAGTGGTAAAATCATTGGGAAAACAGTTGGGCAGTTACTCAAAAAGTTAAACATAGTTATCATGTGACACAGCAATGTTACTCCTAGGCATTTATCCTATGGAAACAAAAACAGGTTCACACAAAAACTTTTATATGTTTTCAGCAGCTCTATTTATAATGGCCCAAACCTAGAAACTGCAATATCCATCAATGATGGATAAATTGTGATACATTTATACAATGGAATGCTATTCAGGAATGAAAAGTAATGAACTAATGATACACATTATTGATACACAACAACATGAACACATTTCAAAGGCATTATGCTGAGTGAAAGCAGTCAGCTCAAAAGGTTACAGACTGTGTGACTGTTCAGGTGATATTCTCCAGGAGACAGAACTACAAGGATGGACAATAGATCAGTGTTTGTTAGGGATTTGGGACTGGGGGTAATCTGATATAAGGGAGTTTTTTAGGGTGAATGATTCTGTATCCTGATTGTGATGGTGGTTACACAAGTCTATATACCAGAACCACCACAAGACCCAATTTATTGATTATATGTAAGTAAAAAAAATATGCTCTTTGGTTGTTTTGACCCCTAGATAACCTATTTTGTCAGAAAAGCAGAAGCCTGAGTGATTTCACGTTCTGTGGTTTGTTCTTCTATTGCGGAAAATACTAAAGTGCCACCTCCTGGCCACCACAGGTGCTGCCAGTCCAGCAATCAACCGCAGGCAATGCAGAGCACCAGGCAGTGTTGGGTGGAGAGGGAAACACCAAAGATGCTCTGACAGGTGTCATCCCTGTTCTAGGGGGATTCATGATCCAGTGGCATCAGTGGAAGAGACAGATACCAAATAACTGAAGAACACTTCAACAGTTCATACATTTGGGAGGCCATTTAGTTCCATGCCCACACTTCACAGAAAAGGAAATTGAGGATCAAGGAGGTTTGCTGATTTGCAGACCCTAGAAGTAGAACTCAAGCCTGCAGACTGACCCGGATCTATATTCTTTATCACAGCAAGCTTTTTCAAATATCATGGACAAATGAACATATGCTGCATAAATAAGTATTCCTAAACGTCAAGTGAATAAATTTTCATAGGAGGTGAGTTTTGGTTGATTTTAAAGAATGACATGGTCAGTGCTCAATGAAGAGAAGGGAAAATATTGAAGGAATTAGAAAGTCCACGATCGACATAAGTTTGTGAAATAATTTCCAAGGCCACAGGTAAGACAGCATCTCAACCTTTCTGCCACTTAGATATATCCCATCCAGATGACTTTTACACGATCCAATTAAAAACTTTTTATTCTGTAATGCTGACTCTCATTTGGTTATTTTGCATGCAAAATTCCAAACTGAATTTATGTAGCACCTCACAGGACAGCTTGATTAAAGCCTAATAAAATGAGAATTTTAACAGAAATAACTGCTAACATATCGCAGTAGCCTTAGCTGCAGGGGTTCAGGGAAAAGCCAGATTCAGCAGTGAAGGCTGATCCCTCCCCAGTGCTGCCCGGGCAAGAGGAGAGGAGTGTTGGATGCGTCCCACTGGGAGCGTGCGCTTCGCCGCCCGCCGTCCCCTACTGCCCTCCGCTCTGTCTGGGGGCTTCATGCTGCTGCAGGGAGGAATTGTTCGTGTCTGTTCAGGCCTATGGGCGTGCCAGAGTCCCAGAGAAAAGAGGGAGAACAACAGCTAATTTCTTCCACTACACAAATAATGAAAGATTAAGCTCCTGTGGTTGCCAAGGCAGGAAAAAAGGCACCCAGCATGTCTTCTCCTAGGGCTGTGGGAGACAGGATGGCTCACTGGGAAAAAGCAGCGGAGCAAGTGAAGAAGACCTGGCTGTTAGTTCCAATTCAGCCACATGATTTTGAGGGAATCATTTAATTTCTTAGGACATCTGTCTCTCCTTTTCTGCAAAACATGAGTCACACTAGATGCCTTGCCTCCCTTAAGATGGTAGTAAGGATCAAGAAACAGCAACTCAGGGGTGTAAGAAGATAAATAAGCAAAACCCCTCTGCCTTCAGTTTTTACACTCTAACCTAAGAGAGTGTGCCAGCAATATCTGAATACCTTTCCATTAGTACCAGACAAAGGGAAGGTATTGTATGGAAATATATTAGCTAGGGCAGGCGTCACTGCCTGGGTTATCTCTGGGCAGCCACATGCTCAAATAAGTTTCT